CAAGAATCAAGTTCTGTAAGCACATGCGCGACGGGCCCGAGATCCTCCCCCGGCGCCTCCGTTACGCTCTCCCCCCCCCCCCTCCCCCGACCCCGATGCACGCGCCAACACACGCGCATGCACACTTTTGACGCCCGGGCCTCCGGCCCCGTGCCCGCACTCGGCCTCTGACCCAAACCCCGCACCCGGCCTTCTGCCGCCCACTTGACGATCTCTCCAGGGACTGGACTGTCACCAGCGCCGACGGTGACCTCTCCATCAACCCCTGCGCCCCGCTGAAGCAGTCTGTCTGCGACAGCTCCAGCTACGCCTGCCTCAACCAGGGCAGCTACTTCACCAACTATGCTAGCCAGTACGGGTCCAGCAAGTCCAACCCGGAGGGTGCGTTCGGTTTGTCGACGGCGTGCACATACATGCACACCTTTGCGGTCCCCTGCTGCCCTTCCTGCTTGGCGTGTGCCACTGGCGGGCGGCTCCCGGCTGCCTGCACATGTGTGTCCCGGCTTGCTGACTGCCTCCGCCCCCCCCCCCCCCCCCCCCCAACGCCCAACGCCCACAGACACCATTGTCACCATCAACCTCAACCAGGGTGACTACTGCATGCTCAACAATCCCTACAATGTGGATGTCATCTTCACCTGTGGCTCTGGCGAGGTACGCACACTTTCGCCGCCGCCGCCGCCGCCAGGGCCTCCTCCTCCCATTCATCGGCCACCTCTCTGACCCCCCCCCCCCTTGCGCCCCGTCCCCTTCTTGGCACTACTTCTCTCCCCGTGCATGCTTCATCCTTCGCCCGGCCACACACAATCCCACAGGGCACCCCCGTCCCCGTGGGTCACTCCGATTCCGACCCCTGCAAGTATGTTGTCACCTGGTCGACCAAGTATGCCTGCGCTGGCAAGAGCTCCAGCGGCGGCATCTCCGGCGGTGGCGTCTTCCTGATCATGTACGCGTGCCCCTCCTCCCTCCTCCCCCCTTCACGTGTATCCCCTCCGTCACTCACCGACTCTCGCCCCCCCCCCCCGTTGTCCCTTCCGCATTCCCCTCCCTCCCCCTTCTCGTCTCTGTGTGTGTGTGTGTCTCCCTCGTCAGCTTCTTCGTCACCCTCATCCTCTACTTCTCTATTGGTGCTTTCTACAACTACAAGTTCCGCGGCCTGCAGGGCATTGAGATCCTTCCCAACTCCGAGTTCTGGATGTCGCTGCCCAGCTACATCAAGGATGGCTGCCGCTTCACCTACCAGAAGATCATGGGTCTCTTCGGCGGCAGCTCCAGCTCCGGCGGCCATGAGTCCTTCTAAATGGCCCGCGTCTGTGTGTGAGTGTGCTGGCGCGCCGCGTGTGCCGCCTCACACCGAGGGCGGCGCCCACGCGCCGCGCCGCGCGTGCACATCTCACCACCACCATCATCCTGCGCTCGGGGAGACACGCGCCCGTGGGTGCCATACTCCCCGCGCGTGGTCCTCTCCGTCCCCGAGGAGAGGAGAGGAGGGCGGGGAGGGGACTCCTCTGCGCCCTCTCCTCTTCCCTTCCATCCATCCACCTCCGACCGCGACGACGCAGTCTGGGTGGAGAAGCTCCTCTTTTTATACCTCCCTCTTGTCCCCCGCCCCCCTTTTCCAAACATACGAAAACTCCCTATACATGACCATGTATGTATCCCCGTGTGTGTGTGTGTGTGTGTGTGTGTCTTTTGCAAGCAAGAAGATTCTCCGCGGCAAGGAGGGGGGAAAATCGCCCCCGAAAAACTGCCCAGGGCCGGCAAGAGGCGGCCAGATGGCACAAAAATCACACATTTTTATTAGGCCCTTCGTTTTCCTGGTGCTTTTGTCCTTGCTCCAACCCCGCCCCAGCTTCAGGTTCGCCCAGTTCTGAGGCTGCCCCCAGAATGCGCGTTCAGAGTGCTGCTGTATGCCGATGCCCCAGATTGCCAATTCTACACCACGAAAACACCCTGTCCCACGGGATCTGCCGGTCACTGACCCTGTTATTCCGTATCCGTCGCCTCGAAACCCACCACAAATGAAGGGGGTTCCTCTCGGCATTTTTGGCCCTTCCCAATAAGCGGCAGGGTGGGGCAGCTGGCGGTGGCGGTGGCGGTGGTGGCGGTGGCGGCAGCCCGGGCGTAATGTTACCCCTTCGGGTGCGGCGATATGCACTTTCCCCCGTCTCCTCCGCCTCTCGAAGTGCCTCGAGTGTGCGAGTGAGGGAAGAGACGCATGGGAGATGGCCGCCCGCGGCCGCCTCGCGTCGGTGGGGCTTGTCCCTGCCACCCCCGGGTCCAGGGGCGGCGAGGGGGGGGGGGGACGGGGCAGAAAGACGGCCTCACCCGCGGGCGAAATACCATCGCTTCTGTGGCGAGCCATCTTCTGTGGATGTGTGCGCGTGCGCGCGAGGGGGGGGGGGGGGAGAGAACACAGGCCCGAGGGGCCCTCTCCACATCCGAGGAGCGTTCTCGCCCGGCCGGGCTCGCCTCGGCCCGCCGTACGGAGCTGGCCCGGAGGAGAGGAGCGAACGGGGCTACCCTCCCTTGTCAGGGTGTGTGTGTGTGTGTGTGTGTGTGTCTGTCTGCTGGCGCCGGCCCCAGGAAAGATCGTCCATGCCTCCCGCGGTCTGTTCCCCATTCGAAGCGTGCACCAGCTGGGAATGTGGGCCCGTGAGAAATTGACTAGTTTCCCCTACGCCCAGCCCTGCCCCCCCGGCGGGCTGGCCGGGTGGTGCATGGTCGATCGTGGCAGGTGTCAGATTAAGGGATGGTTTGTCGGCCTTGGCGCGAGGGGGGCGGGGGGCGGGGGGGGGGAGTTTGTGCGGGGCTCTCAGCACTGGCACCGGAGCGGGACAGGCGGAGAGCCGGGGTAGAAGCGCCAACCGACCATAGCCCGGAGCTGGCCATCTGATTGCGACTCCTCGGGCCAGCCCCCGTTGCGCTCCCGCGAGTCTCGGCAGATCCCCCCCCCCCCCCCCCCGAGCAAGAAGGCGCGCCGGACTGTGGCCCCCTCCTCCGCAGCCCCGCCGGCCCCGCGCTCCCTTCGACCTTCACGGCCAGCTGATGGAGGGGTGATGTTGGCATGTTCCGAGCTGTTGGGCCCTGGCCCGGGCCCTGGGGCACTTCATTCGCGTGCCGCGGAATTCGCTGGATAAAAGCTCATCCACGCCGGGGGGCATTGCCCGCTTTCGCCTTCCCGTGACTGCCAGGGGTGCGACAAAGGGCGAGGGGGGGGGGGGGGGGAGCTCCACCTTTGCCATCCTTCCTCGGGCCCGGCCTGGCAGGTGCTTGGAGGAGGGGGAAATCTCTTTAAACACCCAATCATCGGTCCGGTCCCCAGGGTCGATAGCTCCACTCCCTCTCCCCCTCCCTCCCGTCCTCCTCCCTGCCCTCCTCCCCGCTTTTCCTTCTCCCTCCGCCCCCCTCCCCCCTCCCCCCCCCCGTGCTCTACTCCTCATTAACTGGCCGGGGGAGCGTGCGTGACCCCCCTCTCTTTTTGCCGCTCCTTGTGCCCGCGCGCCTGCTCCCTTCCTGCCTCCCCTGGCTGCGTGCGCACACGCCTGAGCGTGGGTGAGCGTGCGTGCACTTGGCCGGGCGCCGCCTTTGGTCTTCCCCCCCCTCCCCCTCCCCCCACCGCCAAGTGATCCTTTCTCACTCGCGGCGCATCGCCCCCTCCCTCCCTGCCTTTCCCGTAGCATGTCCTCCCCGTTGACTTTCATCAGCCAGGCTGACTGGGACAAGGCCCATGGCCAGTTCTCCCGGCTCAGCCCCATGGGTAGTCCCATCTCCAGTGCGTCCTTCACCCGTGCCCGGCCATCGCCTCTCTGCCTCTCCTGACACATTCCTCCCTGCCGTAGTTGGGCCCTCGATGCAGATGCTCGGCGGCACGGCCCCGGCTGACGTCGTCGCTCGGATCGGGTGCGTTTTCCTCTCCCTCCCCCCCTCCCCCTCCTCCTCCCCCCTCGCCTCTCTGACCGGCTCCTGTCGCTGCCCTCCTCCTTCGCAGGTCCATGTGCGATGTTGATCAGGATGGTCGCCTCTCGATGGTGGAGTTCATCCTGGCCGCGCATCTGGTCGGACGCCTCCAGCGTGGCCAAAATGTCCCGCCTGGCGCCTCGCCAGCGGCCCTGCCCCCGTCGGTGCTGCAGGAGGTCCGGGCTTTCGCCGCCGGCGGGCCCCGGGCAGCGACCCCGGCCAGCCCGCCCAGTGCCATGGCCAGCCCGCCCAATTCGGCTGGTTCGACCAATTCCCCCGCCGGCCTGGAGAATGATCCCCACTGGACCATGTCGCCGGCCGATCGGCAGCGGTACACTGCCCTGTTCCAGCGCCAGGATGCCGGGCATTCGGGCTTCGTGTCGGTGGATCAGATGATGCAGCTGCTGCAAATGAAGCTCGCCGCGCCCGTGAGCCGGCAGATTTGCGACCTGGCCGCCCGATCGAGCCCGGGCAAGCTCAATGTTGATGAGTTTTGCATCGCCATGCACCTGGCCACGGTGCGTTTGCAGCATGGGCTCAACCTTCCGCGGACCCTTCCCCCGGCACTGGTCCCCCGGTCGGAGGCCAACTTTTCCACCGCTCTGCAGGGGGCCAAGACTTCGTTGGGCACCGACAAATCGGCCACCCCGGCACCCGTGGCCAGCACCGGCGCCGCTCCCCCGCTTCTCGTGGCCACCCGCGAGGACTTCGAGCGCAGTCGCCGGGCGCGCGAGGAGAAGGAGCGCCTGGCCTCCATGCCGATGTCCCAATTGGGTGGTTCCGGCAGTCAGCAGCGGTCGGTTCCGCCGCCTCTGCCGGCCCATGCGCCTCCCTCGCATGTGCCGCCTCAGGCCGTTGCCATGGGCTACGCCGGTGTTCCGGCCGGCATGTATGCCATGCAGCCGGGCATGCAGCCGGGCATGCAGCCGGGCATGTATGCCATGCAACCGGGCATGCAACCGGGCATGTATGCCATGCAGCCAGGCATGTACGCCATGCAGCCGGGCATGCATCCCATGCAGCCCATGCAGCCGGTCCATCCGGGGATGCAGCCGGTCCATCCGGGGATGCAGCCGGTCCATCCGGGAATGCAGCCGATGCAGCCGATGCAGCCGATGCAGCCGATGCAGCCGATGCCCACCGTCCCGGCCCAGCAAATGCCCATGACGATGTCGACTCAGCCGATGCAGCCAATGCCTACCCCCCAGGTTCAGATGCCTACGCCGCAGCTTCAAATGCCCACGCCACAGCTGTCGATGCCACAGGCTGCCACATCAGCCGGCCGGCCTTCCTCCCTGGCTCTGCCAGCTGGGGCTACCCCTCTGCCTGGGCTCGCGGCCCCGACCGCGGGGACCGGGCTGGCTCCCCCCCCGGCGGCGGCTGCTGCTCGTGGCGTGCGCTCCCGGAGCAACAGCTCCGCCGGGGCCTTCCCCCCGAACTTCGCCACCGGGCCCAGCAGCACATCCGAGCCGAGCGGCTCGCCGTCTGCCCCGGCGGCTGACTTCTTTGCCGCCTTCGATACGGGCCGGTCGACCTCCGCGCCGGCTGCCCAGTCCGCCGGGCCGGCTCCTGCCATGCCCAGCCCGCCAGCCACCGATGCCATTGACTTCTCGGTCTTCGATGCTCCGTCGAGTGCGACGCGCTCGGCTTCGGCTCCGGCCCCGGCTCCGGCCCCGGCCGCCGCAGCCTCGACCCCTGCCCCGGGTCGTGCTTCCAGCTCGTCCAAAAAGGGCGCCACTGCTGCCGCGACGGCCCCGGCGGCGGCTCCACCTCATCCCCTCTCCGAGGAGATGGTTTCCCTCCTGTCGGACATCAGTGTGCTGAATACCGAGCTGACCAGTCTCTCGCTGAGTGGCCGCCATGTGGGCGGGTCGCGCAAGTCCAGCTCCACGGAGCAGGCCCAGCGCGTGGCCCGGGCCATGGCCCTGCATGCTTCCTGCTCCAATCGCCTGTTCACCCTGTCCAGCAACCATGCACTCGAGGCCCTTGGCACTGGGTCTGGCTTCAATTCGGCCGAACACGAATCGACCGTGGCCCTGGCCGTGTCTCAGCTTGAGATTGCCGGCAAGATGTTGGCCTCGCTCAGCGCATCCGGGACAACGGCCCCGGCGGCCGGCGCTCCGGCGACCGCCATGCCGGCAGCACAGCCCGCCCTTGCGGCTCCGCCTGCGGCGAGCAGCAGCGCAGCTGCCCGGGCCGAGCGTTCGGCCACCCTTGCTGGGGCGGTTCGCCTGGCGCCCACGGGGGCGGATTCCGAATTGAAGGCTGCCATGGGCGCGCGGGCCATTTCCCTGCCCTCGCCATCCCCGGGGTCGTCGCCGGCTGGGCCGCTCTCGCCGGCCGCCGCCGGATCGCCCGCCTCGCCGGGAGGGGCCGTGCCCGTCGGCGCCCCCGGGGTGGGGCTCCTGTCGATGGTCGGCGCGGTTTCCGGCGCCCCGGCCCCCATGCAGCCGGTGCGTCCTGCGGCTCCCCCGGCCAGCGCCATGCCCCAGCCGGTTCCCACATCTCCCATCCGCGAGGCATACTCGCTGGATCTGCCGGACTTCCCCGCCGCCGAGCCCACCCCGGTCCCGGAGCCTGCGGCGGCGGCACCGGCACTCCCGGCTCGCGGTGGTCCTGCCACCGGTCAGGCTGCGGCCGCGGCCGCGGCCCCGGTCCCAGGCCCGGCTCTGCCTGCCCGCACTCCGGCCCCGGCCCCTGTGGCTGCTCCTACGCCGGCCTTCCGGCCGACGTCGGTGACCACCAACGCCGGTCCTGTCCCGCCACCTCGGGCCAATACCGGGCCCACGCCGCCGGCCCGAGCGGATCATCCTGCGCCGGTGTCGGCGGCCGCGCCCGCCCCGCCTCCCCGGTCGGTGTCTGCTCCGGCTCCGGCTCCGGCTCCGGCTCCGGCTGCGGGCCAGGCGCCCACCCCGCCTCCCCGGTCGGGCAAGCCCTCGGCCAGCTCCAGCCCGGCGGCCCCGGTGCAGGAGGCCTTCCCGCTTCCCCATCCGGAGCCCTTTTCCTCGTCGGTGGCCCCGCCCGAGGCCGCGCCGCCGCCGCCGCCGGCCGCCCCCCCACTGCAGCTGGCCGATGTGCTGTACTCCTTCGATGCCACGCGCGAAAACGAGCTGACCCTCATCGAGGGTCAGGTCATTCACGTGCTGGAGTGCAATGGCGTGCGTGTCTGGCCGCTTGCCCGGGCCTCTTGTCCGCCCCTTCCCGTTGTTGCTCCTTCACTGACGAATCGCCTCTCACCTCTCCTCCCACCGGATGCAAACGCCGGCTCCTCTCGCATCGCCCCCTGGTGCCCCCCCCCCCCCCCCCCCCGTCCCATAGGACTGGTGGTTTGGCAATGCCACCATGGCCGACGGCTCAGTGCAATCGGGCTACTTCCCGGCCACCTATGTGGCACTGCAGGAGGCCACCGCCGAGGCGCCTGGCGCGGCGCACAATACCAGCAACCCGTTTTCGCCGACGGTGGCCGCGGCGGTGCCCGCGCCGGCGCCGGCGCCGGTCCGCCAGCCCATCGACCCGGCGGCCCTCGGCTTCACCTACACCCGGGCCCTCTTTGATTATGTCCCCGTGGCCGGGGATGCCGATGACCAGCTGCCCCTGACCGAGGGCGAGTACTTTATCCTGTCCGAGTGGTATGACGATGGCTGGTGCCGTGTCCAGTCGATTGTCCCGCCCTTTGACAGCGGTGTGGTGCCCTGCTCGTATGTCGAGCGTGATGTCCCCCTGCCGGCCGAGCTGATCCCCCAGCTGGAGGCCTACCTGGAGGATGACGAGGATGAGGAGTTTGTCCCCCCGCCCTCGGTGCAGCCTTCGCCCGCGGCGCTGGCAGCCCAGGGCGGCCGTGTGGCCGACCTGTCCTCCTTCGCAGTGCGTTGAACCCGCACATCCACTCTCTCTCTCCCTCTCTCCCCCCTCCCCTTGTCGATGTGTCAGCCTATCTACACCCCCCTCCCCTCTTCCTCTCCTTGGCGTGTGTGTCCTCCCCCCGTCTCCCGCTCTCCCTGTCTGTCCCTCCCCTCCCGCATGTCCTCCTTTCTCTTTCCTGCTGTGTGGGTGTGAGTGCGTGTGCCTTTCAGTTCCCCGTGCGTGCGTGCGTGCGTGTGTGTGTGTGTGTGTGTGTGCATGTGTGTGTGTGTCCCTTCGTCCGGCACTCTGCCTTTAGGGCAGTGCTTCAGGCCGTCGTGCTCGCTCTCCCCTCCCCCCCCGCCCTCGGCTCTGTAGTTGGTGACGCCTTTCGAACGCGCGCGCGCAGGCGTGTGTGCTCTTCTCCACCACGCTTTGTCCTCCCTACTTGGTGCTTTGCACCGATTGCCCTGCCCCTTCTCTTCTCCTCCATTTCAAGAGTGCCTCCTTCCCTTGCCCTGGGCACCGTCATGTATTTCTCCCTCCCTCCCTCTCTCTCTCTCTCTCGCCTTCCATTACCAATGAGACATCATAAGTTTCTCTTTTCCCCTCTCCCTCCCCCACCTTCCCCCTTCCCGTTTCTCCTGCCCGAATCCTCTCGGTTGCCAATTTCGCCCCCATCGTGCCGATGCACATGCGGGAGGGGCCCTGCGGGGATGTCTGCTCGCAGGGGCACTTTTTGGCGGAGTGGGACAGTGTCCATGTCTGTGTGCCAGAAGGAGAGTGGAGGGGGGGGTAGCACCGGCAGCGATGCCACATTTGCCGGCTTTGCCGCCACTACTGACCCCCTCGCCCCCGCCCCCGCCCCCCCCCCCCCCCCCCCCCCCCCCCCCCCCCCCCCCCCCCCCCCCCCCCCCCCCCCCCCCCCCCCCCCCCCCCCCCCCCCCACTGACCCCCCCCCCCCCCCCCCCGCCCCCCCCCCCCCCATCACCCGTCCTTGTGCTGGCTCCCTGCATGGCCTGGCCCTCCCCTGTGTAGCCGCGCATCACGACCGATGGCGCCGGGGCGGTGACAGCCACCTCCGAGGAGCGCCGCTTCAAGGCCATTCAGGAGTTCATCAGCACCGAGGCCACCTACGTGCAGAAGCTGCTGGTGCTGCGGGACGAGGTGATCACGGCCTTCCGGCAGTTTGTCGAGCCGCGCATCATGCGCGACATTTTCTCCAACGTCTACGAGCTGATCCCCTGTAACACGCATTTCCTTGCGGACTTGGAGCGCCGCGCGGCAGTCCTCAATCCCTCCACCGGGTACATTGACCGTATCGGTGATATTCTGATTCGCCACTTGCAGCAGCTCCAGCCGTACACCATCTACTGCGGGCACCAGCGCGCCGCGCAGTTGGCCTTCAGCAGCCTGCTCGAGCGCAACCCCCGGATCAGCCACGTGGCGCAGGATATCTTCTCCTCAAGCGCGCGGCTCCGCCAGTTGGGCGTCCTGAACCTGACCTCCCTGCTGCTTGAGCCCATGCAGCGGGTGACCCGATACACGCTCTTGACGCGGGCCATCCTCAAGTACACGCCCGAGGCCCATCCCGATCATGCGGATGTCAGCCTGGCGGCCTCGATCGCGGACAACCTGTGCTCCCTGACCAATGACATCGCTCGGCAGTCGACCGATGAGATGGCCCTCAAGAAGTGGCAACAGTGCGTCTTCCCCGGCTTGCCGTGGTCTTCCTTCTGGACCCTCGGCCTGCCTTTTCCATTTCCCCTTCGCCCTTTGCCGCTCTTCTGGCGCTCTCCCTCTCCCGGTCCTCTCTGCTCTGCGCGCGCATGCATGCATCATTGGAAGGCGCCATGCTTTTGACTGATCCCCCCCCCCCGTCCCCCGCTCCCCGCCCCTCGCCCCCCTGCAGGAAGGTGGACTTCGGTTCCAGCCCGCACATCGACTTTCTGGGCAGCACGCGGCTCATGGGGCCGCGCGCGCTGGTCCACCAGGGAGTCCTGTTCAAGCATAAGAGCGGCCGACAGCTGGATGCCCTGTTGACCAATGACTTTTTGCTGCTGTGTGTGCCGCGGTCATCCTCGCACTCCGGCAGCAGCGGGCACTCTGGGTCCGGTGGCCATGGCGGAGCCGGGGCCGCTGCGACCGTCGGCCCGGCCAGCGGGGCCACCTCGCTCGTGGTCTACCGCACCATCATGCCGGTATATTCGATCGTGGCTCGGGAGATCGGTGCCACGGATGGCCCGGCCGGCGACCTGGCCGCCGGCGCCTCGCCGGTCACCTCTCCGACGGAAGCCCTGTCGCCGTCGGCGGCGGCGGCGGCCGGCGGCGGCGGCGGCGACTCCGGCCACGGGGGCGATGACACATCCTTCGAGATCCACCAAGCCGGGGTGCAAACCCTGCGCGTGCGAGTCAAGAAGCGCCAGGACAAGCAGGCCTGGATGCGGTTGATTAACAGCACCTCGGCCGCCATGCGCCAGGCGCTGGCTGAGCGTCGCTTGGCCACGGCACAGGCGCGCTGGCTCGCCGCCGACGCCAACCCCAACCTGACCGGGCACTTGACGGTGCGCATCATCAGCGGGCGCAACATCGGCCTGTCGGAGGCGGAGCTGGCGGCCGGCAATCGCGCCATCGCCCGGGCAGCCCGAGGCCGGTCGTTCTTCGTGGAAGTGCGCCTCGGCGCGCAGGTCTTCCAAACGAAGGTTGTCGCCGATGTGGCCGCCCCCCGGTGGGATGAGGAGTTCACGCTGGCCGTGGGCCCGGGCGCGCCCAGCACCCCGCCAGCGTCGGACCTCATCGCCAGCGGGGATATTGGCGGCGGCGGCGGCGGCGGGACCGCCTCCTCGGCGGCATCCATCCGCAGCGTGGCCCTCAACGCCGATCAGGCCAGCAGCGTCCTCAAGTTGACGGTGTACGATCAGCTGGAGTTCGCCCCGGACGAGTTCGTCGGGTCGTGGCAGCTGCCGCTCGACGACCTGATTGAGTTCTTCAGCGGCACGGTCAACCACCTGCGCGACACCGCCCTCGATGGGGTGCCCTGTGGATCGCTCACTTTCGACATCCTCTACCGACCGGTGTACTAGCCGGCCGGCCGGCGGGGAGCCTCAAGCGCCGCGTTCTGCCCTCGCCCCGCCTCCCCTCACCCCACGAAGAGCTGGCGCCGCCAAAAGATCCAGGCGCCGAGTTGCCACTGCCTCCTGCCACCGGGCGAGGGTTGTCCCCCCCCCCTCCCCTCCCCACCGGGTGTCTTTCTCTTCCTTTCTTGTCTTCCTTCTCCCGATGTCCCTCGCCCTCTCCTCGCTTCCGGGGCGTGGCCCGTTTCTTCTCGCTGTTGTGCGGCCGTTGGGCCTTTTTTTTCCTGCCTCCTCGGCTTGCCCGATGGCCGGCCTTCAGCACCCAATAGATCGAATCACGTGCCCACCCCCCCCCTTCGCCCGACTGAAGGGCCGCTTGCGCGTTCCCGATCGGTGTCGGCTCGGTTTTCTCTACAATCTAGCGTGCCCATCCTCCTGTCTTCTCGCTGGCCTTTGCTCGTCGCCTCCCTTCCTCCCGCGCCCCTCCGCCCCTTGCCGCTCCCCCTCGCCGCCCCCTTGTTCCGGTGTTTCCATCGCCATCGCCGAAAATGATGAACGCCTCCCAGAGTATGTCGCCATGTGGGCCCTGGAGCGCTGGTACTTATGCCCTGCATCGTGTGGTTCCAGGCTTCGGACTGACTGTTCCTCACGGCCTTTTGCCCGGTTTTCCCCTTCGGCCATGCGGGTGACCAGAGTTCCGCCTGGCTCTGATCCAGATGCGCGTCTGTGCCGACAAGAGCACCAACATCGCTGCTGCCCTGTCGGCTATCAGTCGCACTGCCAAGGAGGGTGCTGATATGGTTGTGCTGCCGGTGCGTGGCCCTCTCTCATTGTTTGTATCTCCCTGTCTGTCTGTCTGTCTGTGTGTCTGTGTGTCTGTGTGTCTGTGTGTCTGTCTGTGTGTGTGTCTGTGTGTGTGTCTGTGTGTGTGTCTGTGTGTCTGTCTGTGTGTGTGTCTGTGTGTGTGTCTGTGTGTGTGTCTGTGTGTCTGTCTGTGTGTGTGTCTGTGTGTCTGTCTGTGTGTGTGTCTGTCTGTGTGTGTGTCTCCCTCTGCCTCCCTCTGTCTCCCTCTGTCTCCCTCTGTCCCTCCCGGCCCCCGTCTCCCTCTCTCACCCACACCCACAAACGCGCACACATAGGAGTGCTTTAACTCGCCCTACGACACGCGCCAGTTCAATGAGCACGCCGAGACCATCCCCGGCGGGCCGACCTGGTCTGCCCTGTCCGAGGCTGCCAAGGAGCACAGCATTTACCTCATCGGTGGTTCGTCGCTCCCCTGTACTCCGAGGGGACTGCCTCGGGTTTTGGGCACTCCCTTTGGCCCCAACTGGCTGCCTTCCTGCCACTCACCGCCCCCTCTCCCCCCCCCCTGTTCTCTTGTCTCCCTCTCGGCATCCGATCAGGCACCATCCCCGAGCGCTCGGCCGATGGGAAGATTTACAACACGGCCATGGTCTTCGGCCCTGAGGGGAACATGTTGACCACCCACCGGAAGGTTCGCCTGGTCCCATTTTCGGACCTTCCTCTTCCTCTCTCTGCCCCTCTCTCTCTCTCTCTCCCTCTCTCCCCGCGATTCCCCGCCGGTTCCTCGGGAATCGACTCGGCCTGTCCTGGCTCTGACCCCCCGAAAATGCAGATCCACCTCTTTGACATCGATGTCCCGGGCCGTGTCACCTTCAAGGAGTCGGATACCTTGTCGGCTGGTGACAAGCCGACCGTTTTCGACACCGGTGCGCGCCCCGGCCGGCCAGGCCCCCACGCTCCGCCCGGCGCTCTCCCTGGCCCTCGCCACCGATTGCACATGCTGACGTGCTGGCTCTCCTTGCTCCCCACCTGCTGCTCCTTGGTCTGCTGGCATGCTCAGCCTTTGGCAAGATCGGCCTGGCCATCTGCTACGACATCCGCTTCCCTCGGCTGGCGGAGTACATGCGCCACCAGGGGGCCAAGATGCTGATTTACCCCGGCGCCTTCAACACCACCACCGGCCCCCTGCACTGGGAGCTGCTGCTGCGCTCGCGTGCGAATGACAACCAGGTAGGCCCTATTTTGCTGCTGCCTCCCCGTCCTTCTTCTCCCCCTGCCCCCCCCCCCCCCCCCCCCCCCCCCCCCCCCCCCCCCCCCCCCCCCCCCCCCCCCCCCCCCCC